ACCCATCTTGAATAATATTGCATGAGTTCCGTGTTTTTCAATGCAGTGTAGTATTCCATTGTGTGAATATACCAAAGCTTCTCTATCCATTCGTTTGTTGATGGGCACTTAGTTTGTTTCCAACTCCTTGCTATTGTGAACAAAGCCACGATAAACATGGGTGTGCATATATCTGCTTGACACCAACATTTCTAAAGAAGAGTCTGTTTTCAGAAAATTTTATTGAACATCACTGCATTTGTTTCTACTTTAATAAATTGTATACAAAATAAAAGTCATATTTTTTAAGAAAATCTCAGTAACTTTCAAAATAGTTTTTCTTTTTCAATCAGTCCCTAGGGCTCCTCATTTCTGTATCCTCACTAGGCCACCAGGGGTCCTCATTTCTTTATCATTCTGAGACAAGTACTGTCCACTTAGGTTTTTAATTTTGAGTATAATTATTTTCCCAAATATTTTTAATGTGGGTTAGAGAACTTCTCCCCTTGAAACTACAGTTTCAGACAACAAAATAAGGTATAAGTAGGTCATACAGGTTTCACAAAGACTGCATAAATCCTAATGAAATTATTGTTATCAAGATATTAAAGAGCTGAACAGAAGGTTTCAAGGGCATGCTAGTTGGTTTTTAACTCCTTATTCTGTCCTTTAAGATAAAAATTTTTAAATGCAATGATTTATAGTTATACAGCAACCATCTCTACCCTTAGGGGTGGTTCCCGGCAGGGTCAGGGAGCTGTCTGGAGTTACTGTCTGACCGGGAAATGTTTTCCACTAATGAGCAGTCTGAAGAAGAGCTAGTGTGAAAAGGAGCATAGAAAACACATTCCAAAGCTACAACAAAGTCAACAAAAAAGAGCACTAATTCTGGGGCCTCAATGACACAAGAAATAACTGGCAGGTGTAGAGCAGATCTTTTTGGTTCTATGCTCCTTGATACTGAGGAAGGCCAAGACACATCAAGATCTCCATGGAAGGCTGGGTCTCCACATGCTTCAGGAAACAAGATCTTTACTCCGTAACTGACAGAGAGAGCAAGGCCTTCCCTTCGAACCGGCATCCTGAATTTGGACTTCTAACCTCTTAAACTGTAAGAGAAAAAATTTCTTTTTGTTCAAGGAAAAAAAATTAAAATGCAAGAATTATATAACTCCTCTCATCAAGAAATTTAAAACAAACAATTTATATGCAAGGGACATTACAATTGCTGTTTAAACAACACACATAGTTCTGAGTAAAATATACATATCCACTAACTCAAAACAATAGCCTATCTTTGAACATGCTGTATCTGATATAAAAATATCCATATAGTCTCCCATTACATTATATTTTCCACTGGGCTACAGCTGAGTTTAACAGCTACTTCTTACAACAGCAGAACAGAGACACCGGTGGGTCATCATCTAATCTGTACTTTCCAGAGTTGGGTAGATCTTTACACTCTGCTATAAAGGTACGAAGTTCAGTCTCTGGGAAGCCATTTTGTTGGTAATTCTATAAAGAAGAATTAAAAAAGAGCTCTCGTTAATAAGCACCTTGAAAACACTTTTATTTCAAATTCAAAGTAGATAATTTGGCAAGGTAAAAAAAATTTCCTTCAACTATTTTCAGGAAGATGGAGTCCAGGGATTTCCCTAGTCAGCACAAGTGGCTCCCATTTGATTATGACCTAGAAGCTGACAGTTAAAACCCAACCCACCAAGTTGCTCCACAGAAGAAAAGTCTGTTGAGCTGCTTCTAAAAAGATTACAGTCGAAACAACATGAGCAGGTCTACTCTGTAACACATGGGGTGCCTCTGGATAGGACTCAATGGTGATGATGGTTTTCAATCTGTTTTGGTAGAGCTAAGGCAAAGTGGGCTTGGGACTCAGTAGCTGCCTGTGAAACATTCTTCTAGACATCTGGCTTAACTCAATTAAAGGTATGTTGAGGCGGAGGCTGGACCTTTCTTTAGAGAAGAATTGAACTATCTGGATCCCGAGTCTGAAAACCTCTGCACCACTCTGCTCTATGGCCCCATGACTTCCAGGCCTATCTGAATCAGGCATCTCAGGTGAAACCTAGTTCAGGCCACAAAGAAGCCCGATGGATCTAAATTAACAGTTTGTGTGAGGTTGGGGAGGGGCAGAGGCATACCTAGCCTTCTCCTGAAGGCCTCAGCACAGCCTTGGCTGATCCTGGGCTGGTCCAGGTGTTAGGTCAAAGACCTGAATGTCATAAGGTCTGTTCACCCTTTTAGTGTCCCTCTCCTGGACAGACAGATTTGTTTAAGGATCTCATATTTATATTAACATAGGTTCAAAGATCTTGGGCCACATCCTGACTAGAAAGAACTATACATAGCTGCCCTTGCAAATGCTCTGAGCTCTTGGAAAATGGTTAACATCTAAAATATCATCATGTGAGTCTGGGGATTGCATACGCAAAAGTTGTTGACTCTTGTTATTCTTGGGAATCTTCTCTGCCACCCTCAGCATTCAGAGTTAAAGGCAGTAAATCACAGAGAAGATTGCGTATCTTCCCCCCTCCAACCCAAGATTTACTGCCTCTGAAAACCCGCTGGAAGGTCAGCTATGAGGCAGTTTTGACTTTACAGTGCACAATAACAATGTGGAGAAGGAATTGGGCACACATTCTATCCTAGTAACCTAGCGAAAGAAGCACACATCTGCTCTTTTTTTATGTATAAGCCATTCTGAATTATTAACTTTAAAGCATGGCCTTTCCTCCTGAAGCCAGTCTCATGGAACCATGTTTTATTTCTCTTTTCATGTTCAGAAAGAAAAGTCCCCAAGTAGAAATGTCATGCCTAATAATATAAGGTTATTTTTGTTGCATACTGTTGAGTCAGAATTGACCCACAGCTGACAGTCTGGTGAGTTTTCAGAAGCAGTAAATCACACAGGAAGAGACTGATTGCCCACCCTTCTCTCACAGAGCAGCTGGTGGATTTGAATCGTTTGCCTTTGGGATTGCAGTGCACCTTCTTACCAGTAGGCTCAGGTTTCTACTGCTTTACCAATATTTCAAGTGGCTCAAACTGATTTGTAAAAGATCTCACATTGAATGACTAGTTTTTCCAGCCTGATTTCTAATTATAGAAAAGATACATGGGCCATATTTGCCACACAAGCATATTAACATCTCTACTGTTGGGCCCCTTGACGTGATAGCACCCAAGACCTCCTAAAGGTTAATAGGGTCAGTCATAATCCAAGTAAAGATGCAAATGGTTCTTTATGAAAATTGGACTTAAAAGTTCCATACACTATAGGGAACTGAAACACCATCTGCTTTCTACATCTATGACCTAAAACCTATTGAATAGTATAATTTTAATAAGTTTTATTGAAAAAAACAGAGGCTAAACTTTTATCATTATCGAAGTTCTATTATTCTTTAACATTTTTTTTGTTTCTCAATCTTCACCCCAAAGAAATGAACACCGATCAATTTCTCCTCTCTAACACATTTTACTACAACTATTCAAGTGTTAGAGTAATGCTGCTACTACGGCTCTTGTAAACATACCTTAATTGTTTCATATGTGTCTGTAATCAGTGCGATGAAAAGACTTAAAATCATGTATATAAAGAGACTGATGAACGTGTAGAGGTAAATTCTGCTAAACAACCAGACCAAGTAACTTTTTTGCTGCATTTTAGCAAATGTGGCAAACATGTCATCTCCATTTATCAGCGAGAAAAGGCACTCGGAGACCATATTGAGTGAACGAAACTGAAAAAAAGAGAAAGAAAATATTTTAATTTATGTTCCTTTCCACTGGAGAAATAATGGGACCAAAGAACCTCAGTTTACCCCTTCAAATGAATAAATGACTAGCCAAAAGCATTTGCTTTGTCAAGTTGTAATTTTGCTTTGTGAGGAACATGACACATACATTGTTTTCCCTGAGCCGTGCCGTTTCTTCTTGATGTTCCTCATAACAGGAGCAGCCTGAACAGCAGGCAGAGTCTTACCTTCTTTATTGGCTTCAGAGAAAAAGATCCGTGAAATACTTAGTCAGGGATACTCAGGTACCAACCATACTTGTCCACACTTCTCATTTTGAAGTGCATTTCTTTTCTTTTCTTTTTTTTTTAGAATGGTAACTGTGAATATAATTTTATTCTTCTCTGAGTATAATTGTAACTATGTCTTTTCACATAAATTAAACTTCAACAATTAAGTAAAACTAAGCCCAGGTCTTTAAAACAGAGACGTGGATTGCTATTCTATCTTTCTTGGGGGTTTTGTGTTTTGGTTTTTTTTGTGTGTTTTTTTTTTAAATTTAGGTTGTTTATTTTTCATTGAAGTGCATTTCTTTTAAGGCTATGCTATATTTTTGGTTATATGTATGTGTTATATGTGGTTATATATGTACTAGTGTGGTTAAGTTGGGCTCTCAATACATGACAACATCCTGCACAGCACACCAAAACACTGCCTGGCTCTGTGTCACTGCTGTGACTGGTTTCGGATCCAACCATTATGATCACTGGGTTTTTTAATTGGCTGATTTTTCAGAAGTAGATCAGAAAGCTTCCTTTCTAGTCCATCTTATTCTCGAAGTTCACTAAAACCTGTTCAATATCATAGCAATCCACAAGCTTCCACTGATGATGGGTGGTGGCTGCACAGGAAGTATGCTTGCTAGGAACTGAACCCACATCTCCCAATGGAAGGCAAGCATTCTATCAATGAGCCACCAGTGTCCCTGATTTGAGATTAAAGAAGAAAATAAAATCCACTGCCAATGAATTGATCTGGACTCATAGTGACCCTATAGGACAGGATTGGATTGTCCCACAAGGTTATTAAGGCTAGAAATCATTATGGATACAGACTGCCAGGTCATTCTCCTGCAGAGGAGCTGCAGTGTTTTAATGCTAAACTTTTGGTTAGCAGCCAGGTATTGTAACCACTGGACCACACAGGCTTGTACTTTGAGACTATGGTTCAAATTTTAAAAAATTCAAATATTGTAATAAGATTCTACCTACATTACTTTTCACAAAGTTACATTTTAAGGAGGCTTATCTAAATAGCCTGTAGTAGTAAACAGAGCCTATCACTTATCTATCCATTTGTCATATGGTGGTGACGTGTATTGCTGGAAGTTGTGCCACTGATATTTCATGTGCCAGCACAATCTCTCACGGTGGACAGATTTCAGGAGAGTTTTCTGATTAACACAGAGTAGAAAGAAAGGTCGGTAACCTTCTTCCAAACAGTAGTCAATGAAAGCCTCACATACTGAACTATATCAATGGGAGCTCTGGTAGCCTAGTTGGAAGGGAGGTACACTTCCAACTCAAAGCTGGTGCCTCTTTTGTGGTTCAAATCTGATGCTTCTAATTCATCCACCACTCGGACCTTCTCTGATGTCTCCAGCCTCCAAAAACACCTTTGGAGGGTCAGCTATTAGTCAGCTCTGACTTGAGGGCAATGAGTTTGAATTATGAGTTGGTAAAGACTATTGAGTACTGATTTATAGAAGACTGAAGCAAGCCATTGTAGAAGAAATAGAACCAAAATGTTCCTTAGAAGGAAGGATGGTGAAACATTGGCTTTCTTTGAACACATAATGAGGAAGCCCGGTTGTATAGGGAAGGAATCATTATTTTGTAGTGAGATATAAGTGAAAATAATGAAAATCCTCAGTGAGAGGTTGTTGGTTCTAGGTGCTATTGAGTTGAATAAGACTCATAGCAACCCAATGAAAGACAGATTTGAGCCTTACCCTATTCTGTGCTATCTTCACCATCTCTGACATATTTAAACCTGCCACTGCAGTCACTGTGCCAATACATCTGGTTGAAGGTCTTCTTCTCTTTTGCTGACCCTCTACATTTCCAAGCATGGTCCCTCTCCAAGGAATAGCCTCTTCCAACAATAGGCCAAAAGTATGCGAGATGAAGCTTTGTTATCTTTGCCTCCAAGGAGCACTCTGGCTGTACTTTCTCCAAGACATGTTTGTTCTTTTGGCAGTCCATGGAATATTCAATCCTCTTCTCTAACACTAAAACTCAAAGGCATCAACTCTTCTGTTATCCGGATTCATTGTCCAGCTCTTAGATGCATAGCAAGGGATTAAAAGACCATGGCCTGAATCAGATGCACCTTAGTCCTTAAACTGACATCATTGTTCCTCAACAATTTGGAGATACCCCAGAAAGCAGACTTCCCTAGTGCAATACATCTCCTGATCTCCTGACTGCTGTTGTTGATTGCAGATCCAAGTAAGATGAAGTCATTGGCAGTTTCAATCTTTCCTCTATGTATCTTGATGTTACCTGTCAGTCCAGTGGTGAGAATTGTTTTTTCTTAATGTTGAGATGTAATCTATATTGAAGGTTGTAGTCTGATCTTTCACAGCAACTGCTTCAGATCCTACCGACTTTCAGCAAGCAGGTTGTTTCTTCTGCATAATGTAGGTTATTGATGAGTGTTCCTCTGATCCTAATGGCACATTCTTCTTGACAGAGTCCAATGATTTGTGACTCAAATGATTTGCTCAGTGTACAGATTGAATCAATATGAGGAAAAGATTCCACTCTGATGCACGCCTTTCTTAATTTTAAACCATGTAGTGTTCTCTTGCTCTATTCTTTTGCCTCTTAGTCTAGGTATAGATTTTGCATAAGCAAAGTTATGTATTCTGGGATTCCCATTCTTCTCAAAGTCAGCCATAATTTGTTATGATCCCCATAGCCTTTGCATAGTCAATAAAGCACAAATAGACATTCTTCTGGTATTCTCTGCTTTTATCAGGATCCATCTGATATCAGCAATGATATCCCTGGTTCCATGACCTCTTCTAAATCAGCTGGAACATCTAGCAGTTCTCTATCAATGTACTTTTATAGCCAATTTTTATGATATGCAGCAATATTTTGCTTAAATGGGATATTAATCATATTGCTTGATAATTTGTACATTCTAGACTGACACTTAAGCATAACAATGGACTAAAACATTCTACAATTATGAAGATGGCACTAGGCTGAGAAATGTATTGTTTTGTTACACATAAGGTCACCGTGAGTTAACACCACTTCAATGACAGTGATGTACTGATGAATCAAGATGATTAAATGTGACTTTGCTGGCATAAATGCAACTCACTGCCATCAAGTCAGAACCTATTTATTGCTGATCCTTCAGTGGATTTTGTTAGGCTGTAAATTAAACAGGAGGAGACTGACCATTTTTCCCCCCTGAGGAGCTGCTGGAGGATTCTAACTGACAGAGAGGTGCTCACTTTGGTGCTGAGTTGGCAGTGAAATTCCCAACCAGCACTAAGCCACCAGAGCTCCCATTGCTGGTGTAAAAAGCAATTCTTTATCTGACACGCTCCATAAAAGGACTTCAGACAACTTAGTGAATGAACTGTTCTCTCAACTTGGGTCCATACTATGAGCTTACAAATAATGACAATCAATACATTGCCTTCAGCTTTTTAAGACTAAAGCACAAAGTAAAAGGAATTAAAGAAATGATGACTAGATAGAAACAATTGGAAACACAGGGCTGATATTTGCACATGAGAAATATAACAGCACCGACTTTAATAATTAGTAAGTGTTGAAATAGCAAATATTTTGTTACCTATATATCTATAACTTTATCTATATCAATATCTATAAGGAGATGCACTGTCAATCCAAAGGCACGTGGTTTGAATCCACCAGCTGCTCCATGGGAAAAAGATGGATCAATTATCTCCTGGACCATTAACAGTATCTGAAAACCTGCTGGTCAACTGTGAGTCATTTCAGACTCAAAAGCACATAGCAATAACAAAAATATATGTATGTGTCTCTGTATGTATATTTACCGCTGAAATTTCAATTTTTTTAAAAGGAATAACAAGCCACTGGCACTGTCCTCAGTTACTTCTCTGTACCTTATCGTGGTAAGGGCCCAGCACAATCCATCCACAGAAGCAATAACCTAAGTAAATCATAGCCGCACAGCAACAGAACCTGATGACACTGGGTAGTGCTGCCTGAAGAGTCAGAATAAGGAGCTGCAGAAGCAAGAGAATTATGTGAGTCCCTTTGGTCTCCATTTAAAACTTCACAATAACTGAAAGAAAAAGGGCAATAGTATGGAAACTTGTAGAATTTCTTACATTGTACTTCTGAAAAAACCCAAGGTAGCGGATGACTCCAAGCCACACAAGCATGGTCGAAGTCCCAAGAAGTATGCTACAGACATCATAACTTGTTAGACTCTACAACAGAGGGGGTAGGAAATATAACAGATTGAACATATAATAAAAATGCATTCAGGTGAAATATTTATTGAAAAGCTGTGAGCCCACCATTGTTCTGGGGGTTAAGGATAAAGCAGTAGCCAAATAGAAAACATTCCCCGCACCATTGGGGTTTGCAGTCTACTGAGGGCAGAGAGCCAACAGAAGAAAGCAGAACCTTTGATGTATTAGTTGGTGATAAGAACTGAAAAGCCAGAGGAGGAAATAGGTAGAGGGTTGCAATTTGAAGTAGGGTGATCGAGGAAGCATTCACTGAAAGGAAGCAAGCCAAGCAGAATTTTAGAACTTCACTAACACAGGTGCCAGAAACTGCAAAGGTCCTGAGGCAGGAGGACGCCTGGCAGGATAGTGAGTCTGGCTGGAAAAGAATGATCAGTGGGGTGAGCATGAAGTCAGAGGAGAGAGAACAGTTAGTGCCGGGCCTCCTGAGTGTTTTAACAATTTTATCTTTTAATCTGAAGAGATTACAGGGATTTGGAAGGCTTTACTTGAGGAGTGGCAAATGATATAATGTTGGATGCTGTGGTTATGAGCAAATTATTGCATAGTGAGGGAAGTAGTGGGAAAAGGTATGCTGTTAATATAATCCAGGTAAGAGCTGGTGGTAGCTTGAAATCATCTGTTAATGGTAGAAGTGATGAAGTGATTTTTGAAAGACGATTAGAGAATATTTCCTTTTAGATTAAACAAAGGGGGGGGGATAAATTAGAGAAAGGGGTGAAGGATGAATCTCTACATTTTGGCCTGAGAAACTGAAGATAGTTAATTGAATATACAAAAGCAATGACAGAAACAACTCTGGACTGTGGAGGTAAAGATTGTAGGAGTTCTGGTTTAGAGATGTAAAATTTAAGAGGCCAAGTAAGATGTGGAGTTGTTCTATGCCATTGAATTGCCTGTAACTCAGAGATGTGGAACAGATAGATACATAACTGAAGAAAGAATTTAAAGCTGGAGATACAAATAAGCATTATTTAAAGTCATGAGCCTCTTAAAGAGATTCCCAGGCCACATTTAAGAAAATTAGTGTCATTGATTTGTCAGGTCTTTTTCATATGAGCTTTAGAAAAAATATTTACTCTGAAAAGTTTCAAATTCTAAAAAAAATAATTATTAATTCAAACATGATATGAACAAATATATGCAAATAAAACTTTAACAAAACCAACCAAACAAAAAGACATGGTATGAAAAAGGTAAAAAGTTAAAAAAAAATAATAAAAAGGAAAAAGTTTTACCTTAGCTTGGATTTCCATTTTCAGAATTGATCCTATTATTGTCAATATATCACTAATAATAATCATAATGTACCATCCATTGACAAATTCCATTTGATCAGAAACAGAAACTTCCTTTTTATAATGGAGCAGGAAAAAATTGACAAACTCCTTTAAGAAAAAGAAGAGTACCAGGGAATTTATCTGTCAATCAAAATGTCAGTAGCAACATTACCACTATAAAAAAAGAAACTAAAGAAAAGTTTATATACAGATAGAATTGTTCTTGCATGGTTAACACTGACGAGAAGAGAAGGAGAAGGGTGTAAAAATTAATAAATTAGTAAGTTGGGTGCTGAGAAGGAAATATATAATAGGGAGTTAATTAGACACTATATATATTAATAATAATCAATTGTAATTCATGTTATAAAACAAAATGTCTATAATGATGGAATGAATCTCTAAAAATATTTGTAAACTTTAAAATAAAAGAATAAAGAATCATGGAATTTTTTTAAACTGTCAGTAGCATTTCCTACCTGCTGAAGCTGAAGTCCTCTAATCACAGATCGAACACAGAGGATCAGCGAAGCCAAGCAGGTCAGGATGACAAACGCATCAAAGATCATCATGTAGTGAGTGTTCTTCTGAACTGGAGGGAAAGATTACTGTTTGTGTAGCAGGACACTAATATGGTGATAATTCAAGCTTGCTTTCTAAAAGGAGAGCAGAGAAGCGACTCCTTGGAAAAGCATTTTTCCAATTAGTATTTCTAGAAGGCTATGAGTCCTTGTAAACATCATCACATCAGACAAAGATCTTTGATTATCAGCTGGTAGTCTTTTGTTCTTAATACAGTTATCACCTCCCTTCATATTCTATTAACAGTATATTTCACCTATCTACCCATCCATTGCTGTCGAGTCAATCCCCACTCATGGTGCCCTCCATTAAGATTCTGAGGCGTAAATCTTAACAGGACTATGTCATCTTTCTCCCATGGTATGGTTGCTGGATTCCAAGCAGCAGTCATTTGCTTAGCAGCGCAATACATAATTTACTACACCAACTACAATATTACGGGCTTTTTCAAGATGCTGATGATATAGTGATGAATAAGAGAAAACATCCCTGAAACTTTTATTCCACTGGGTGAAAACAAAGAGAGGAACAAATAAATGAACAAAATGTTTCCAGACAGGAATGGCATAAAGGGAAGACTCAGTTTATATGTATTGAGAGGGCATTGGTAGTTCACTGGTTCAATATAATCTTCTGTGTGGTAGAACTGGTTCAACTCCTGACAAATACACTTCAGGCACAGCGACTAACATTCTGTAAGTGGAAGTTTGCAAACCATCATGATGCTGAACCAGTTTCATGGATGTTTCTAGGCTAAGACACTCTAGGAAGAAAGTCCAGACAATCTACTTCAAAAAACCAACCACTAATGACCCCACAGTCTTATTTAGTGCACAAGGTCATGATGGGTTAGGAGTTAACTCATTAGCAGTTAACAGTGATGTCAAAATGCAAGGAACACATTATTTGTCAAGCATAGTTCTGAGTAGTTTTACAAGCTTTGATTTATTTGATCTTCACAACAATCTCAGTGGGATAGGTGTCATTATCCCCATTTTGCAGATTAGAAGACTAAAGTAGAGAAAGGTTGAATAACTTGCCCAAGGTTGAAAGGCCAGTAAGTAGCTGAATCAGGATTCAAATTTTATAGTCTATCTCTCATACCCATCACTTGCTATCAGTGGTGCTGGACATCCCTTGGGAATCTCTTAGAAATGCAAATTTCCAGCCCCTACTCCAGACCTAATGAATCAGAAACTCTGTGTTTTCATACATCCTCCAGAAGAACTACAGCTCTAGATGAGAGGATGGTGTGGAGTAATGGAAAGAAGAGATATTTATATTGAAGAGTAAAAGAAAGCATCACCATAGAGTAAGTTTGAAGTAAGAACAGAGTAACAAGAGTCATTCATCTAGAGACTCTAATTCTATTGTGGAATATGGTTTTAAATAATAAATTTGACTGTTCTACACTGATAGAAAGATTAAATGCTTAAGATTACTTCTCTAGTGATATATTCCATTAATGTCAGCCAAGGGGCATCTTACTGCTATACAGTTGCCTAAATCTACTTTTTGGTTGTTATGTGCTGATGAGTCACTGAACCTTATGCACAGTCGCTCTGAACCCTGCCCTATCCTGAGCCAGTCTCACTGATTCCAACATACCTACTCCCACTACCCTAGTGATTGTGTCCATCCATCTCATCCAGGGTATTCCTCTCTTGAGCTGTCCTGTAAAACTAAGAAACACACTCAAGGGAAACCCTATGGGTTAGGCACTTTAATACGTTCTCATTTTCCTATTCTGAAGTTTGTGGAGAAATATTGTGATTTTTACAGACGATGAAACAAGTTTAGCAAAGTTAAAGTTTGTGATTCAAGAACATCATATTTACAGACTTAAAAAACTTTCTGGAGGGTTGGTTCACCTTGACAGTAGATAACAGCAACATTAGTGAGAAGAACACTAAACACAAAAAATTTTGTCTTGTGTACTAGAATGCTGTCACTAACACCTCCAAACGTGGTGAATCAGTCAAGGGGAAATCTTAAAGTAACACTGATCTACGTATGATTTGAATAAGCCATGGAACAATGGATACCATTGCTGATGTCAAATGGATTTTATCTGAAAGCAGAGAATAGACAAAAATATTTTCTTCTATTTTATTGACGATGCAAAGGCATTTGTCTCTGTGACTTGTAATAAATTATGGATAGCATTTAGTAGAATGGGAATCTCAGAACATTTAAAATTTTGTTTATTTGCAACCTATACATAGACCAAGAAATAGCCCTTTAAATGGAACAAGGGGATATTGCATAGTTTACAATTGGGAAAAGTGTGTGTCAGTATTGTATTTTTTTTTCTCCATATTTATTTAATCTGTATGCTGAGCAAATACTTTGAGAAGCTGGACTAGAAGGGAAAAAAAGAACATGGCATTAGGATTGGAGGTAGATTCAGATGACAGTTTTGTATGCAGAAACTGAAGAAGACTTGAAGTAGTTACTGTTGAAGATAAAAATCTTCAATTGTCAGTGTTGTTGTTGTTGATTGCTGTTGAGTGGTGAACACGACTCATAGTGACCCTATGAACAAAAGGCCTGAAACCTTTCTATAACTATCATCATTTTTCAAAGTTCATAGAGTTTCCAGAGGCATGCTGTTCAGGAAGTGGATGCTACTCCTGCTTGCATTTTAACATAAAGAAAAAGCAATCCTCACAACTGGACCAATAAATAACATTATAATAGATGGGGAAAACAATTGACATTTTCAAGGATTTCACTTTACTTGGATCCATAATCAACACACACGGAAACAACAGTCAAGAAATAAAAAGACATGTTGCATTGAAGAAATCTGCCGTCAAGGACCTCTTTAAGGTGTTAAAGAGGAATCACGTCAGTTTAAAGACAAAATGTGCTTGACCCATGCCTTAGTACTTTCAAATGTTTCATATGTATGTGAAGTTTGGACAATGAATAAGGAAGACCAAAGAACTGATGACTCTGAATTGTGGTAACAGCAAAGATAATTGATTATACCAGAGACTGTCAAAACAGTCTTAGAGAACATGCAGCCAGGGTGCTCCTTAAAGGCAAAGATGGTAAAACATTGTCTCACCTGCTTTGGGCATATTGTCAGGAGGCACCAGTCCTTTGGGGGAAAGATATCATGCTGGTGAAAGTAGAAGGTCAGAGAAAGCGAGAATGAATGAGATTAACTAAACACAGTAACTGTAACCATGGGCTTGAGAATGGGAGAGGATGTGCAGAACAGGACAAGAATTCAATTTGTTGTTCACAGGGCCCCTGAGACCACATCAACTTGATGACACCTAACAGCAATATAAACTAGACAACTAGGATATAAAAGCTGCAAAGAAATATTGTTTCTCAGAGAATATGGACTTGGTGACCAAAAAAAAAAATAGAGAGATTGGAGATTGAAAGAATATTGTACAGATGTGCAAGCTGGATTTAGAAGAGGCCATGGCACTAGGGGCAATATATCCCGTGTTAGATGGATCTTAGCCAAAAGCAGAAAGTAGCAGAGGAATGTATATCTGTGTTTCACTGACCATGCAAAAGGCATTTGACTGTGTAGATCACAACAAATTATGGCTAACCTTGAGAAGAATGGGAATCCCAGAACAGTTAATTGTTCTCATGTGAAACCTAGACTTGGACCAGAAAGCAGCAATCAGAACAGAGAAAGGAAACACTGAATGGTTCAAGATCAGGAAAGGTATGTGTCAGAGATTCATCCTATCTCCGTACCTTTTCAATCTATATGCTAAATAGTTCATTCAGGAGGCTGGACCTTAATGAGAAGGAATGTGGCCACAGGATTGACAGAAAACTTATTGACAACCTGCAATATGCAGATATCATGATCTTGCTTGCTAAAAGTGAGGAGGACATGAAGTATATGATGCAGAAGGTCAAGGACTGTAGTTTTCAATATAGATTAAAGCTCAACATCAAGAAAATAAAGATTCTCACCACTGAGCCAACTGGTAGCTTCATGATAAAAGGAGAAGAGATTGAGATTGTTAATAATTTCAATTTGCTTGCTTCTACAATCAACATTCTTGGCACTAGTATCCAGGAAATTAAAAAAAAAAATCAACAAAGAGCAACTATGTCAGTCTGGAGGCGAAGGTGTGCCTGATACAGGCCATAGTCTTCACAGTTACTTGCTATGTATCTGAGAGCTGTACAATAACTAAGGATGATAGAAGAAGGATGGATGCCTTTGAGTTATAGAGCTGAAGAAGAGTGTTGAACATACCACAGAATGCCAGGAGAACAAACAGTTCTGTCCTGAAGAGGGTGAAACCAAGCTGTTTCCTGAAGGCAAGTGTACTTTTGGCACGTAGCCAAGAGGAATCAGTCCTTGGAGAGGGACATCAGGCTTAGAAGGGTGGAATGAGAACATAGGAGAGGAAGACCCAGGATGAAATGGATCGACTCAGTGACTGGAGAAATGGGATTAGGTCTGTTGATAATTACGAAATTGGCTCAGAATAGAACAGGGTTCAGAGCTAATATACATAGGGTCACTATGAGTTTCAGACAACATAACAGCCAACAACACAACAACAATTAATTATTTATTAATTGAAAGTGCCTTTTAAAAAAACATAAATAATGATTATGCACACAGATCTCACTTGATGTAATACACTGCAATCCAATTGACTACATCTGTAAAAGGAGTCGATAGAGAAGCTCATTACCAGCAGTTAAAACAAGGCTAGAGGCTGACTGTAGAACAGACCATCAGTTACTCATGTGAAAGTTCAAATTGAAGCATAAAAGAAGTCCACAAAAACAAAACATACAACCTTGAATCTATACCAACTGAATTTAAAAAAACATATCTAGAATAGAGTTGATGCGTTATTGTCACAAATAATTTGGTCATTACTAATGATTGAAGACTAGATATGTTGTGGAATGACATCAAGGATATCATCCATGAAAAATCAAAACGTTTCAATCACAATTTTAAAAAAAGCAAAAAGTCGCTACAAAGGTAGAGAAGAAAGAAAAGAG